TTTGTCTTAAGCAAGTGCCACGGAGTGGGAATGCTGGGCCATATTTATGTCGCATTTTACAAGAAACTGCAAATGGTTTCCCAAGCGGCGGTGCCGTCTTGCACGCCCAGCTCCTCACCAGCACGCAGGTGGCCGGGCTTCCGAAGCCGTCTCAGCAGGGTGCCGCCGAGCCCCCCGTGGCTTCATTCCCACGCTCCTGCGGACCGCCAACGCGGAGCCCCTTTGCACGCGCGCACCTGCTCTCTGTGGTTCTCCCCTGGCGGCATGCCTGTTCTGATCTTTGGTTAAAAAATTGGGTTGTTTACTTTTTCATTACTAAGTTTTGAAAATTCTGTTCTGTTCCGGCTGCGGTTCCTTTACCAGGTACGTTTACAGATACTTCCTCCGTCCGGGGCTTGTCTCTTCACGTTATTACCAACAGCTCAAAGAGCAAATGTTTTTAATTACGGCCGAATACAACCACCGTAGCTACTGTCGTTGAGGAAAGGAATCTTTCATTTTATTTCATTCTAGTTACGTTTAAAGGCCGTAAGTGACTAGCGGCTACCACTGGGCAGCCCAGTGAACCCGTGCTCAGACGGTCTTTCAGTGAGCAGTGTGGACATTTTCGTTCTATTTGTGTTGTGATTACATTAATTGACATTTTACGCCTGCTGAATCTAATCACAAAACTTGGGGCTTGCACTCTGTAAATCCTCTTTCTTTCTATTATCCTATTGTGAATTGCTATCAGGTTTTACTAATGCTTTGGCCCCGGAGTCTCGCAAAGCCTGGTCTCCTTCTTCCCTCCTTCGCCCCCTGCGGGAAGGCCCCTGACCTGGGCAAAGAGAGCCCCAGCGGGGTCGGAGGGCACAGGCTGGGCGGCTGGGAAGGGCGTGGCACGTTCAAGGAACGGAAAGAAGCCCCGTGAGGCCGACGTGAGGAAGGAGGGGGGCCGAGACGAGCTGGAGAGGAACGCCGGGCCAGTCGGGCCCGTCACGCAGGCCTTGCCCAGGGTCCCCACGTGACAGGTGGGCGTCCATGAGCCACGGCACCCACGCGCCAAACAGAGGCCTTGTCCAAGGTGCTCGGGGAGAAACAACCAGTGTCTCCCCCTTGGCCTTGGTTGTACAGAAAAGCGGTCCGGTTCTCAGCCAGGAAGTGGACTGACCACGGGAACTCTCCCAGGGGCCGGGAGTGGTCTGTGCCACCGATTGGGACAGAGGCCCAGAGGGTATGTCACTGCCCCCTCGCAGGGCAGCCGCTCCAGCTCACGTTCTCCTGCTCTACCCGAGGCCCTTCTGCCAAATGGGCCCAGGCCGCCCTTTTACAAACGTGAAATTGTGTTGGAAGCTGGTTTGGCTGATGATGTGAACGGGCCCAGAAATGGTGATTCGGGGGACTTCTCATCTGTTCCGAGAGTTCCTCCTCTGTCGGTTTCTGGAAGCTGCCACCACAAGTGAGCACACACTCGGCGGCTGAACACACAGACGTGTATTCTCCACGCACAGACGTGTATTCTCCACGCACAGAAGTGTACTCTCCACGCACAGAAGTGTACTCTTCACATACAGAAATATATTCTTCACGCACAGACGTGTATTCTCCACGCACAGAAGTGTATTCTCCACGCACAGAAGTGTACACTTCCACTGTCCTGGAGACCAGAAATTCCCGCTCCCGGTGTGCACAGCTCTGTGTACCCCAAAGGCTCCAGGGCACCATCTGCTCCTGCCCCTTCCAGCCTCCAGGGGCTCAAGGTGACCTGGCTGCAGTCACACACCCCTGGTCACATGTGTCTCTTGCAAGGACTCTTGTCATTGGACTTAGGGCCACTCAGATAATCAAGGATGATTTCAAGGATGTCCACCTATGCAAAGGCTCCCAGTGTGGCCAGTCAAGGTTCTGAGGATCCGATGGGGACACATCTTTTCCAGAGCCCCCTGTACGCCCCCTCCCGGCTTCTCCTGAGCCCCCCGCACGCCCCCTCCCGGCTTCTCCTGAGCCCCCCGCACGCCCCCTCCCGGCTTCTCCTGAGCCCCCCGCACGCCCCCTCCCGGCTTCTCCTGAGCCCCCCGCACGTCCCCTCCCGGCTTCTCCTGAGCCCCCCGCACGGCCCCTCCGGCTTCTCCTGAGCCCCCCGCACGCCCCCTCCCGGCTTCTCCTGAGCCCCCCGCACGGCCCCTCCGGCTTCTCCTGAGCCCCCCGCACGCCCCCTCCCGGCTTCTCCTGAGCCCCCCGCACACCCCCTCCCGGCTTCTCCTGGACCCCCGGGCGGCCTCGGCACTCGCCCTGCTGGCAGAGAGACGACAAGATCTCGGTTCCTGTCTCCTTGGAGGAAGGATTTCAGTTGAGAGACAAAGTGTAGCAAAGTAGGAAGGACGCGTTGTCCGCAGCAAACACGCTCAGGACGGTGACTCGAGGAAGGTGTGGGAGAAGCAGCAGGAGCCCTGGGCTGGCCGGGCCGGGCTGCTCCGGCTACTGGGGGTCAGATCACAGGGGACCCTGGGGGTAGGCTGCCGCTGCCCACTGCTCCCCTGGTTGGGACCTTCATGGGGACCCTTGAGGGACGAAGGGGGAGGGAATGGCACGGGCGGGGTGGGGCTCCCCCGGGGAGAGTGCGCTGGGCCCGCAGCCTGAGGGTCTCCCTCTCTCGCAGGTGGGACTCAGGGGGTCCAGGGGAGGGTCGGCTCTCCAGGTGTGCTCTGTCAGGGTCCTGGTCCCCAGGGATGGTCGGCCCAGGGCAGGGGGTCCTTAGTCATCACAGCTGGTCCTCGGGCAGCCCCAGCTCACTCGTCCGGTTTGGCTGCTTTTCTGGGCCTGGGGCTGAAGTACAACTGAGACCTGGATGTTATCTTCAGGGAGGAAAAGTCAGGAGGCCCGAACGCATGACCAGCGATATGCAGGGAGGAAATGGTCACCCTGGGCTCAGGGACCGGGCTCTCTGCCCTGGAGCCCCTGTGCCTGGCCCACCGTCGTCCTCTGCTCGCGTCTAACCGCCCAGAACCACCAGGCTCAGCCCTTCTGCTGCTCTTCTCCCGGGGTCGCGGGCCTGCACTGCCCGCTGCCGCCTCCATGGCTTCGGACACGGCGCCCAGTGTCCCAGCTGCTTCGGCGGGAGGTGGACCCAGCCCCTCCCCCCGTGAGGCGGGGGACAGCCGAGTCTGACCTGTCTCTGCCGGCGCCTGGCGCAGTGGACGGCACAGGGACCCTTCCCTGGCAACGGCGCATGAGTGCAAAGTGAACGAAAAGGAAGTTAGTCTAAATCCTTCGTTGTTCTCTGGTTCAGGACAAAGAGGCCACATCCTTGATGTCCGGCAGGTGGGCTCCTCAGCCGAGCACCTGCTCACGTGTCGGTTCTCCCCAGCCGCCCTGGCCCTCGGTCTGGCGCCCTGCTCACTGCAAACACGCAGCCCTCGGAAACTGAAGAGGTTCGCCCGGGGAGCACGAGTTGGGTAGTAATTTATGGAAGTAGGTTCTGCGAGCGCAGGGCACGGGGCGAGGGGGGCTGAGGCGGGGCGAGTGCTGATGGAAGAAGGGATGAGCGCGGAGAACACGGGAGCGGGAAGCTGGTCCAGCAGACGACACTGGATCGCTGTCAGCTCAAGCCTGGCCACGGTGGGAACCGGCCTCTGCTCTCCCTCCAAGCCCCCTCCAAGCCCCACTCCAACTACGCTGAAAGGAGAAGTTACTGCGTCACGGTCCTCAGCAGCGTTCCTGGGAACTTCTGTTTCGTGGCTTCTGACCTCCCCCAAATCTGATCGTCTTCAGAATAGGGCTTTGTTCATTTGTTCTGAATACATTTTATTGGCCTTGTAATTCTAACTGTAACATAATAGACACTTGTCATAACAAGCCTAAAAATCCAAAGGGAGATAAAGAACAATTTAGAAATCTCCTACTTTAACTGCAATGCCCTGTGGGAACCAGTAACACAGTCCAGTGTGCAGCTCTCTGTACCTTCCTCGCGGTCCTGCAACATATACACACTCACATGCATGGTGGGTGGCCACTGGCTTTGGAACCTGTACACAAGCAAAATGTATAACTTGTTTTTAACGATAGATTAGAGACATTCCACCAGATAAATATATAGAGATTCGCCTTAGATTTTTTTTATCTAGAGTATGAATTAACTGCCATTAATTCAACTGCTCCTCAAATTATGTACACCCCAGGACTTTCAGGTTCACCAGCATGTGTGTGCTGCACTCAACACCCCAGTGACCGAAGGCTGTTTTAACTTTGTCACCTGGGTACCTGAGCCTTGAAACCTGCAAAGGCCACTCCCTCCCCTGCTCCCTGTCATTGAGAGAAGGAGCAAAGGGAGGCTGAAGGTGACCAGGTGCTCGTGGCCAACAGCCTCCTGCTGTGGCCTCCACCTGCTGCCCGCTGAGCCAGTACCTGCTCACGTGGCCCTGATGCAGCTGCCCGGCCACGGAGAACACAGCGTGTGCAGCTGCCTGACCACAGAGAACACAATGTTTATATATGCTCAGCCACAGAGAACACAGTGCCTGCAGCTGCCCAGCCACAGAGAACACAGTGTGTGCAGCTGCCCAGCCATGGAAAACACAGTGCCTGCAGCTGCACCCGCTGCTCCGCACATGCTCCGTTGCCCTTACTCGCCCACTGAGATTCTGTTGCTTTAAGTCAACAGTCCGGCTGCTGCAGCTCCGTGACCTCCAGTGTTTTCCTGGCCCAGATCCAAGGCAGGTGCCCGCCCACTGTGAATACTGTTTCTTTAGGGTTTGAGCTTCTTCGCATATTTGCTCAGGAGCAAGGATGTGTGATACTTCCCCAGCATGAATGAAGCCGGGAGAGGAGTCCCCTCCTCGCAGGAGCTGCAGGGATAACATTTCCCGCTGGACATCATTTGCCATGACACCAGCTGCAGCCGATGCGCGTTTACTTCTCAGCCAGAGGTCTTGGCAGGGATGCCAGCCTGCCAGCCGCCGTGCACTCCCCTCCGGAGACCTGGGAGCTGTGTGCATGCTGATGCGGAGCCATAGCAGGCAGCCATGGACTTCAGCAGCTCGTCTGTGTTTGATCAGCAGAAAGGTAAAGTGCTGTGTCAGCGCAGCCTCCGGGCCAGCCCCTCCACTCCGACCTCCATCCGACTGCAGCCGAGGGTGTGTGCGTGTGTGCGCGTGTGCGTGTGTGTGCGTGTGTGTGTGCGCGCCGTGGAAGGAGGACTCACGTAGGAAACAGTCCGTTTTAAGGGAGCTTTGGGCCTGTTGGTCTGAGAGTGCTCCCTACCTGCAAATTTTAAAAACTGGGTTTCAGGCAGTTTTTACTATCATCTTTATTTCCTTAGTTTTTTCTTTCCAATCTTTACAAAAAAATATATTAGAGCAAGTAATATAAAAAGAACAAACCCTGCGTCTCTTTTTACTCTATTAACCCAGTAGCTCATTGCTACAGATTCATAAACATCCCTTGATTTCCTTCAGGAACGGTGCCCGGATTTACACTGGCTGGCGCTCCCTCATCCGAGGCTGCGTGACGGCTTGTCACTCTGCTGTTATCTGCAGTGGCAGGACGTAGCTTTCTCACTCACAATTCCCAGCGCAGAGGTACTTTTCCGCCTGAAAACATTGCTGTCGAATCGACTCCTATGTCCTAAACACACGTATCAGCTGTGTAGTCTGTGTGTGCACACTGCATACACAGTGTGTGTACACATATGCATGATACCTGTGTAATGATGCGTCTTTTCTACGTATGTGCAGGAAATCTCCTTTCTGTGAGTGGAATAAATATTTCTAGAATGTGTTTTAAATAGCTGATCTCTAAGCCACTTTCTATAATCTGTGGATATTCTTCAGCATCCGAAGGCCCTTCGGTCATCGACTCGTTTGGGGCAGGTGAAAGCCTCATTAAGAGAATGTCTTCTTCTCCCTTTGCCCTCTGGACCACGGCGCTTACTACGTCTGCTTCACGGGTGAAATATTGTAGCTCAGTGTTTTCTCAAACAATAGATTCACATTCAGATTTCCGCGTCATGATATGTGTGTGTATAACTTGATCTCCAGGGCTTAACTCGTGTTGCACTGTGTGTGTGTGTGTGTGTGTGTGTGTGTGTGTGTTCAGAATGTGCTGGTTCACTGCGTCTGGATGTGAGCTCCATGGAGAAAGGGATGGTTCCGGCTGTACCACCCTCCCCCGCTCCCCTTGCTACATTTTGTATCACTGTTGACAATCAGCAACAGTGAAAATATGCCTAGATCCCGGAGACCTCATTCTGGCTACAAAGTAACACCATTGAGCTGTGCAGTCCAAGGGGTCGGAAGGGTTTATCCTTAGCCGGATTAGAGGGGCTGCAGGGATCCAGCCCTTCGTGACCAATGCGTCGGTTCTGGTGTGTCTCCTGCCAAGGCTCAGCCCAACATGGTTAAAATGTTAACGTGTACCATTGATCCTTATAGCACCTTTCACGTGAGCGATTCACAGCGATCCTGGCTCCGGGCTGGATTCTCCCCGGGCCGTCTCTGCTCTGCTTCTCTCCCCTTGCTGTCCACAGGGGCTGAGAGGCGGCAGTAACACGCTGCATAGGTGGCATGGCAGATCAGCCCCTCCCTAGCTGTGTCCCCTCAGCCAGTTACCTCCCTGCCCTCTCTGGGCCCTGGTCTCCACCGCAATGAAGTGAGGAAATGACGCCTACCCGGCAGGCTTGTCGTGAGGATCCAAACCGTGTAAGAGCGCACCCGTCCCGTTGCCCGAGGAGCAGTGCTCCCGGACTGAGGCTGCTTGGTGATTACCGCGCTCATCGTTCCGACCCCTGGACCGACGCCCTCGCCTCTCCGCTTCCCGCCGGAATTCAGCCGCCTCGGTACAAGCGAGGGCCTAGCTAAGGCCGGTCGACTTGACTGCATGCATTTCTTTTTTTCAGAATTCCGGGGCAGCACTGAGAGCGAGCCCTAGAATGCGTAACGAACAGAGACGTGGCTAGCTCTCAGCCCTCTGACCTCATTAACCCTTCCGCCTTCTTGAGAGCGGAGGCCACGACAGTAGACGTCAGGTAGACGTTAGCTCCCGCGTCGCTGGCAAGCCACGGTGCACGACGTTCTCTTGGAAGGCTGAGTGGGGGCTTTCGCAGAGGGTTTTCCATGCATTTTGAAAACCTGGGGAATCAAAGCTGCCACGGCCACTGGCTTTACAGGCAGATATGGACAGAAGGCCTCGCGGCTGGGAGGGTCACAGAAGTCCCGTGAGCATGGGTCTCCAACTGGGCCATCGGAACCTCCTGGACAGTTTCCGAAAATGCTGGTGCCTGGGTCTCAGCCCTGGAGATTCCGTGTCAGTGGAGGGGTCGGGCTGGACAGGCTCCTGGGGAAGTTCTGACTATGGCAGAGATCGAGGACCACTGTGCAGTCCACCCTCACATCCCAGGTGGAGAGGGGTTGAAGGCGGTGGCATCTCGGGGGGGGGGGGATAGAGGGCAGAGAGGTTAGAGGTGGTGGCACATCAGGTGGGAATAGAGGGCAGAGAGGTTAGAGGTGGTGGCACATCAGGTGGGAATAGAGGGCAGAGAGGTTAGAGGTGGTGGCACATCAGGTGGGAATAGAGGGCAGAGAGGTTAGAGGTGGTGGCACATCAGGTGGGAATAGAGGGCAGAGAGGTTAGAGGTGGTGGCATCTCAGGTGGGAATAGAGGGCAGAGAGGTTAGAGGTGGTGGCACATCAGGTGGGAATAGAGGGCAGAGAGGTTAGAGGTGGTGGCACATCAGGTGGGAATAGAGGGCAGAGAGGTTGAAGGTGAGCCCTCTTATACTAATAACAGCTCATCGGGAAGAGGGGCTGAGGCCCAGGTTCTCCAGCGGAAGCAGAACCAGGACCCATTTCGGCAGTCTCTGGCCTGGCCGCTCCTCGGGGGTGGGGGACTTAGGAGGGGGTCTGGCTCCGGTTGCCCTGAGAATGGTTAGCACTGTGCACTTGAAGAATGTGATGGATAACGACCACCACGGCCCAGACAGGGGGACCCGGTAAGTCTGGATCCCTCTGCAAACGCAGCTGTGTTTTCCGTGCACAGCAGAGGTAACCAGCCGACTCTGTGCCGGGGGCTGGGAGTAGATGGGCATTTGCTCCAGGCCTGTCTGCCCGCTCCCAGCTGCGGGCACGTGGGCACACGGATCGATCTCCTCGTCTGTAAAATGTGGAAAATATTAGGTGTTTGCAGGATTGCCGGGAGGTTTGCAGACAGGTTTCCGGCTGCGGGATTAGGGCCTGTCGGGCTTGCTCTGGGAGGCGGGGCGGGAGGAGCCTGGGCCTGGGAGACCGCCCCTTGCCTTCACCATAGCAACCTCCCTGCTGGCCCCAGCCCTGGCTCTCCACCGCCTCACGCCCACGACAGGAAGAGCTGTAGTAACACCGTTTACTACCGAACAGAGGTTCCCGTGGAAGCCGAGGTGTGTGTGACGAGACACTTGCATGTCAGGCTTTGTGGAAAGACACGCTTTATGTGCCTGAAGGAGGACCCCAGCCTCCGAGAGAACTGGGAGCGGTGTGGTCCGCGGGCCTCCTCCACCCGGCCCTGCCCGGTTCCGTGAGAAATGCGTTTGCAGGCACCGTGGGGACAGCCCACCCTCCTGGCTCTGTCACGTGTCAGCGAGATACCCAGAGACGCACAGCCCACTGTAAAGGAGTGCTTCATTACACCGGGGGCTGGGGCTCAGCTTCCCCGGATCCTCAGCACAGATTCTTCTGGCTCATCTGCTTTTGAAGACAGACACCCCCCCCCCCCAGGACTGGTACAATAGTGGGTGTGACCGTGATTACAGAAGTCAAAATTAGCTTATTCACCGGGCTCAAAAGTAACTGCAAATACCAACCCACTCGGAACTGCAAACGCCTCCCAACACGTGGGGCAACTACAATGGTGGCAAAACTCCTTTACTTCTGGGTGTAATTAACCCATTACTGAAAAAATATCGAGGACGGTTCATTGATGCTAAACATGGAATCCAGTCGCCTCAGTCTTGGGGCCCAGGTCACTAGGTCTTTCCCTGCAGGTGTTGTTGAGAGAGGAATGGGGGACCTCCTTCCAGCCCAGGGTGGGACAGAGCATAAGCGTCCCAGCTGGCTGTCTGGCAACCCTGGCGGGGTCCCCTCGGGGTCCCGGGTGAGCGTCAGGGGGTCAGCGGGCTGGCTGCCCTGGCGGGGTCCCCTCGGGGTCCCGGGTGAGCGTCAGGGGGTCAGCGGGCTGGCTGCCCTGGCTGGGTCCCCTTAGGGTCCCGGGTGAGCGTCAGGGGTCAGCGAGCTGGCTGCCCTGGCTGGGTCCCCTCGGGGTCCCGGGTGAGCGTCAGGGGTCAGCGGGCTGGCTGCCCTGGCTGGGTCCCCTCGGGGTCCCGGGTGAGCGTCAGGGGGTCAGCGGGCTGGCTGCCCTGGCTGGGTCCCCTTAGGGTCCCGGGTGAGCGTCAGGGGTCAGCGGGCTGGCTGCCCTGGCTGGGTCCTCTCAGGTCCCGGGTGAGCGTCAGGGGTCAGCGGGCTGGCTGCCCTGGCTGGGTCCCCTTAGGGTCCCGGGTGAGCGTCAGGGGTCAGCGGGCTGGCTGCCCTGGCTGGGTCCTCTCAGGTCCCGGGTGAGCGTCAGGGGTCAGCGGGCTGGCTGCCCTGGCTGGGTCCTCTCGGGGTCCCGGGTGAGCGTCAGGGGTCAGCGGGCTGGCTGCCCTGGCTGGGTCCCCTCGGGGTCCCGGGTGAGCGTCAGGGGTCAGCGGGCTGGCTGCCCCGGCTGCTGCAGGGGAGAACCCGTGTCCACCTGTCTTCGCCTGGCCTTCTGTGTGTCTGTCTGTCCGAGGCCCTCTGCCTCTCTGACATGCGCGTGATTACATGTGGGCCCAGGAGCCAAGGCGAGCTGTGCCCCCAGATCCGGGACAGCCCTGGGAACCGCGCGGATGTGTCTCCGGGGCCTGCCGCATGGCGTGAAAACAGCGAATCGCGTGTCCCGGTTCAGCAAGCGAGGGGCCTCGGGACTTGGTTTCGGGAAAATCCGTCCCCATTGAAGTAGAAGGAACCCAGGCATCGGGGCGTTCGGAGAAAGGCAGGTGGAGGAGACAGGAGGGGGCGATGCGGCCCCTGGGGCTGGTCACAGACCTCCTGGGAAGGAAACCGCCGAGGAGAAACCTGTGACTGGTTCT